CCCTTCTGTTTCATTGCATTAAATATATCATGCCACTCCCTTCTGACCTGTAAGGTTTCTGCTGAGAAGTCTGATGATATCTTGATGGGGTTTCCTTTGTATGTGATCTTTTTTATCTCTCTGACTGCTTTTAATACTCTGACCTTGTCCTTGATCTTTGCCCTTTTAATTATTATATATCTTCGTGTTGTCCTCCTTGGGTGCCTTGTGTTGGGAGATCTCTGCACTTCCTTGGCCTGAGAGACTATTTACTTCCCCAGACTGGGGAACTTTTCAGCCATAATTTCCTCAAAGAGGTTTTCTATCCCTTTTTCTCTCTCTTCTTTTTGTACCCCTGTAATGCAAATATTGTTCCATTTGGATTGGTCACACAGTTCTCTTATTATTCTTTCATTCCTAGAAATCCTTTTTTCTCTCTGTACCTCAGCTTCTTTGTATTCCTGTTCTCTAATTTTTATTTCATTTACCATCTCCACTATCTCATCTAATCTGCTTTTAAATCCCTCCATTGTATGTTTCTTTTCAGATACTGTATTTTTCAAAAATTTTCTCTTTCTTGAAGTCCTCTCTGAGAACTTAGATATTTTTCTTTAGCTCTGTGAACATGTTTATGATTTTTATTTTGAAATATTTATTCAGAAGATTGGTGATTTCAGTTTCACTTGGTGTTTGTGGTGTTTGAGGGATTTTGGTTTGTACAAGATTATTTTACCATTTCATATTTCTAATGATTACTATGGTATAATAACTTTATGCAGGCAGCTTCCTCTAGTGCCCAGATGCTCTATTCTCTGGAGCTGCCCAGCTCCTGGAGCAATTACAGAGGTTGCAGACAAGCAGTGCTGGTGTCTACCAGGAGGAAAGAGCTCTTTCCTGCTTCCAAGCTGCAGTGTCTGCCTCCACTGCCAGGGTTAGTGGGCTGAGTATGCAGGGAGGAGCCTCTGCATTACACCCCTATAGCTGCTGTAGACAGGGTTACCCTCTGGCTGCCTGGTGAGATGGCAGGGGCAGAAGATTTGTGACCTGGTCCCTGCCAGGAGAAAGGAGCAACAGACTGCATATCGCAGTGAGAGACCTTGGCACTGCATTGCCAACCAGGGGGATGGAGTGTCTGAAGCTCCTGAAAGCTCCCAATCTGCTGGGCTGAGTGTTCCAGGTCGATTTTGTTCACCTGTCCTTTCTCCTGAGCAGCAATCTGTGTGTAATCCTTACCCCTTTAGCAGCCCTCTCACTGTTGGGAAGTCTTTCAAAGTACCCACCTTTCTTTAGTCCCAGAATGGCCATTTGTGGGTACCTATTTTCCACAAGTGGATGGAATTTCAGTCTTTCTGAATATTCCTCCTGTCTTTGCTTTCTAACCCCACTAATTACCAGAGCACCATGTAATGTGGGTTTGTGCTCACGGTGAAGACCTCCAGGGATGGGTGTTTAGCAGACTTTGGCTTCTACTCTCTCCCTACTCATTTTGTCTTCCTCCCGCTAGTAAGCTGGGTGGAGAGAAGGGCTTGGGTCCTGCTGGATTGCAGCTTTGCTACTTTACCTTTCCTGTGAGGTCTTCTCTTTTCCTCAGATGTAGGCAGTCTGTTGCAATCTTCTTTCTGGTCACTCTTTCAAGATTAGTTGTATTTGCTGTATTTTCATGTTATATGTGGTTTTGGGAGAAGCTTTCTGCCTCACTTCTCATGCTGCCATCTTTTTCCATCCCACTGAGCTTATCAGCATGTATATTCTTAAGCAAATCTGGTTTGAGATTTCAGCAAGTCTCTCTCTTTTTGAAGATAATCCCTTTCCTAATAGCAGAAATTGACAAATGCTCATGTTGCATGTGTATGTGTGATCCTTGCTTGAGCCAATTTGTATCAACCATTTTTTCATCTTCCCCAGAAAATGCACTAGAAACATCTCTTTGGGAGAGGAAGCAAGCATTTATAATCTGTTGTCCACATCCACTTATCTATCCAAGCTTGTTGGTTATAGGCTACTAGTTACATTAAAAAGAAGAAACAAATGCAAACACTGAAAGTATATGTCCCAGGTACTCTTAAAGAAATATATTGGATCCATTTGGAGAGCAAGCCACAGATTAGAACCTTATGAAATTTAAAATTAAGTTGTGTCCTGAGAGATATATAACTAAAATACACTTGTCTATAATACAAGTTCTTTCCATTGAAAAGTCATTTTGGTTGTAGAAGCTGTACTGGTTTGACTAGCATTCCTCAAGAATTCATATCCACCTGGAGCTTCAGGTATGATCTTATTTGGAAATAGTTCTTTGTAGATATAATTAGTTAAGATAAATTTAAGTGGGCCCTAAATCCAGGGACTGGTGTCATTAGAAGAAGGCCATGTGAAGACACAGGGAAGGCACACACAGGAAAGGCCATGTGAAGATACTGGCAGAGACTGGAGCAGTATGTTTATAAGCCAAGGAACACCAAGATTGTCAGAAACCACCAGAAACTAAGAAGAAAATAGGAGGATCCTTCCTTAGTGCCTTCAGAGTGTGGCCCTGCCAACACTTTGGTCCTAGACTTCCAGCCTCCTGAACAATGAGAGAATAAATTTCTGATGATATAAGCTATCTGAGTTTGTGGTGCTTTGTTACAGCAGCCCTAGGAAACTAGCACAGAAGGCAATGTGGGAAAACTCTACTGGAGAGGTGCATGTGACTAAGAACCTGTGAGCAGAGGGGCCATTGCACACCCTCCTCACATAACCTCTCCCCCATCAGCATAGGGCATTAGCGAGGAAGCATCCCTAGATGAGGACCGGTGACACCTGATTGGTTCTAGGAATGACCCTCTCTGCCAACTCACACTCCAAAGCCAAAAGCCATGCCATGTGTAAGATTGTTTGACCTCCATACATAATGGATGGCAAAATGTGTATAAACCATTTACATGGTGCCTCTAGGGCACCACGAGCAGAGATGGTCATCCTTACAGACCAGCTGCTGCCTCTGCTTCCATCACCAGAGAACAACCTCACTCAAACAAATGTGAGGCACTCCTTAGGAAATACAAATGACACGAAGTGGTCTTCATTTTAAATGCACCTTGACTGTTCATGATTGTGAACATAAAAAGAAACTAGCCTAGGGACCATCTGTAGATGAACATTCATTCTCAGCCTCTCTGTGAGAAACCAGTGATCGTTTATCCTAAAGGTGATGTCATGCACAAAGCAGACCTGGAGGGACCAGCACTGGAAGGGGGCTGGGGAAGAGTGACTCCAGCCAAGAGGTCAGCACACACACGAGGCAGCAAGCAGTTCTGGGAAGGCCTGAGGGTGCACCTGGAGCTGGTATCCAAGTGCTGTCAGGGTACCCTGAAGGACAGAAGTGACACTGAGTGACTCAGTGAGGAAAGACAAATTGGGAACGAAGAGGTCAGTCAGTCTGGCAGGAGGCTCCAGCCTGGAGAAGTCTGGCAGGATGTAGAATAGGGGATCATCATGCCCAGTGGTAAGGCTTGAACAGGGTGTGAGGGGAGGGACTGAATTGGGTGTATTTGTTCTGAAAGGCTGAAGCACTCCTGTAGTTCTTTGCCATGCACACTATAATCATTGACCCTATTTCCCTGAGTTTTATCTTCTGCCCCTGCTCTGATGTTTTCATTTTCCTGCTATAGACAAACAGAGGCTAATAGTTGTGTGCTCTGGGTTATCAGGACCCTTTGGGCGTGATACTCTCAAAGGTCTTCATCTTCTGCAGATATGTTACCTTACCTGTTTTATGTGTTTCCTTAACCATGTGGTAACTGCCACTTTTCAGAGGTTCAGTCTAAGTGCTGGGCTGCCAAGTAATATGAAATAGTGATAAATAGAGCACTATAACTTCATCTAAGCATTGAAATAAGATGAGAATTGGGATTGTGTATCACATGGGCTGGAGGTGTTTGGAGGATGTAATGAGATTGTGTATAAGGAAAGCGTATCAGGCAGAGTCCAATCAAGAAAGAAACCACCCATAGGTTAAACAGAGAAATTTTAATATCAAAATTATCAAGTATAATAGAAGAATAACTATACAATAAATAGAAAAATATAAAAAATAGCTATATAAAAAGTATAACAATAGAATAGAGATATGAGAACTCTCCATGGTACCCTAGAGCTGAGGGAAGGCCCCTGAAGAGGGACAAATTTGGAAGGGGTTCAGATTTCATTGGAGAAGGTGTGGACGGTCCCCTGGACAGCAGAGAAGCTGGCCAGGTAGCCAGATTGGAGCTGTTCTGGAGTTGCTGGGCAAACAGAAGACCATCCTCAGGAGGGCGGACATGGAGCAGTCAATGGTGCCCACGTGCAGTGGAAGCCTGGCTCAGGAGGTGGCAGAGGGCCTTTGGAAGAGAGGGTTTACAGACAGGTGGGCTGCTCAGGGAACCCCTGGCCACAGGCTTGTTTCACAGGGGCCAATGCAGGGCTTGTTTTAGGGTGTTAAGAGGTCTGTACACAGGTTATCATCAGGTGAAGCGGTACCGTTGCACAGGAATCCCTTTGAGGCCCTGGGGCCCTGGCAGGATCCACCAGAAGTCCTCCCTCCCACTTGACTGACTCTCTAGTCCCTCCCATTGGAAGTTGCCGGAAGCCCCTTCCTCCTGCAGCATCCTTTCAGCGCCCCCTACTGAGAGAGTGAGGCACTTGCTCACTTTGAAGGAGAAGCAGTCAGTTACAGGGGTCCATGGTTTATTACAGAGCCCATAATGAAGGGTGCATTCCAAGTGACGGGAAGTAAATCAAAAAACTGACAGAGAGCTTGGCAAAGAGGCTGGCACGTAGTAGGTGTTCAGTGACTGAAAGCTGTGTTATATATTTCTTATTCAGCCAAAGTAAATAAATTTAATTTATCTGGAATACATTTGAAAGTTGGGCAGCCATGTTAATATTTATTGTATAATTTACTGGTGTGTATTCTTTTTAACTAGACACTAAGTTAATAATCTGTGTGTGAAACATTTCTCATTTCTAGTTCATGTTTCTTTTCTTTTCTTTTTGTCTAGGTCTTATACAATATATTAATTGCCTTCACAAAGATGCATAAATTTGAAGACATAGAGCCTGTGGACATTTTGGCTGGATGTGCCCGATTCATCATTGTGGGAGTTGGGGGGGCATTTTTCGGCATTGTTTTTGGATTCATTTCTGCATTTATCACACGTTTCACTCAGAATATCTCTGCAATTGAGCCACTCATCGTCTTCATGTTCAGCTATTTGTCCTACTTAGTTGCTGAGACACTCTATCTCTCCGGCATCCTGGCGTGAGTACAAACCAAGGACTAACTCTGATAGTCACAAAGGAGAATTTGGGAGCCCCTCTTGTAGACTAGCCTCTGGAGAAGGCTTGCCTTCTGACCCTATTCCTCAGAGGTGTTGAGGGATTCTAGTTATTTAAACTTGGTAAAATCTGATTCAGGTCCTTTGCCAAACAAATATTCTCTCCAGCATTTGTGTTTGCTCTATTCTAATGCTTTGCCTTAGGAGAGCATAATAATTATAAGGTCATTTTAGAGTGCTTCGAAAGGTGGATGCAGAGAAGGGCTGGGAGCAGATCGAGGTTATAGTTTCATCTCAGTAGGTTTTTGGGGTTTTTTCCTTAAAAAAATTCATTAAAGTTACAGAGAAGAATCCCATGAGGGACTGTCCATCATTCCTGAGTTCTGCCTCCTATTTCCCTCAACCACACCCCCGTGCCAGAACTCATCACTGTGCAATGAAACTAGGCCAGTGGGATAAGACTAGCAATCCAGATTTCTTTTCCCCAAGGAAAATGTTTTTGAAATGTTTTTCCTTCCATAGATCTGGGAATGAGGCTTCTTAACCTGACTTGCTATACCTGGTTATGTTGTTTTTACAATGACATTATCCCCACATCCAGCTACCTGGGCAGAAATATTTAATTTTATTGTATAGAAATACTTACTTTAATTAAATGTTAGTCTTCCTAGGCATTCATCATTTCCCCACCTTAAAAGTGATCAAAACTTCTTAGACAAGGCACAGTTTTTCTCCCCTCACCCCCAGATTTGCTAAGTGGCTCTAGAACAGAAAAATTTTTAATGAAAAATTTCTCATCAAAGTGTTGTAAGAAATGTTGCTCAGGTGGAGGAAATGAGGGGCCTCGCTGAGTTGTACTTTCTAGGTAACTGCACTGGGTTTGTGTTGCTTGAAGGCAGTGTGAGGTAGAGTTAGAGGTGGTGCTGACCAACTCTTGAGGACGGAGGGCAAGACAGAACAGCCCTGTTTTGGGTTTGTGCCTGGTTATCGCCATTTTATTGTGAGAGAGCCCCGCCCCACCACCTCCCCCACCACGCCCACCTTCACCGCCAAACTCCACTTGTGCAAAACCCTTGGGGAGAGAGAACAGGAAGAAAGACACCCTGTGGAAAATCTGCAGCCAGAGAAGAAAATGGAGAAGACATCCTGCCTGTATAAAAAAAGAGATCTGTGTGTCTGCGGCATCACCAACAGGGAGGCTTTTCTGTGGACAGGCAAAATCTTTTCTGTGGCTTTGCTCTGAGACTCTGCTCCTTTTGCAGAATCACAGCCTGTGCAGTGACAATGAAAAAGTATGTAGAAGAAAACGTGTCGCAGACATCCTACACGACCATCAAATATTTCATGAAGATGCTGAGCAGCGTCAGCGAGACCCTGATCTTCATCTTCATGGGTGTGTCCACTGTGGGGAAGAACCACGAGTGGAATTGGGCCTTCGTGTGCTGCACCCTGGCCTTCTGCCTGGTCTGGAGAGCCATTAGTAAGAGACGCAGGGCCCCGCAGGGTCCCCTGCCTGCTGTTGGCTGTTGTTTTTTTTTTTCAATTGAAGTGTCTTTGATATACAGTCTTATATTGGTTTCAAGTGTACAACACGGTGGTTCAACAGTTACTCGTATTATTAAATCCTCACCGCAACTAGTGCAGTTACTACCCGTTAACATAGAAAGATGTTACAGAATCACTGGCTATATTCTCCACACTGTACTGCTATCCCCGTGACCAACTTATACTATGACTGAGAATTCTTGAGCCCTTTTATCTCTCCCCTTCTCCACCCGCCCACCCAGTCCCTCCCCCGTGGTAACCACTGGTTACTTCTCAGTGTCTATGAGTCTACTGCAGTTCCATTTATTCTGTTTTGCTTTGTTTTTATATTGCACAAATAAGTGCAATTGTGATGTAAAAGCATAAGTAGTGAGGTGATGTGAACTGGTTTTACTGGTTCTGGGAGTATAGGCATCTCAGGGAGACTAGGAGCATTTTGTTTGCTCCTTTAATCAATTTGAAGTAAGGAATGGCTGATAAGGTGCTGCACTGAAGCAAGGTCAGAGCAAGGAGTATATTTTTCTTAATTGAAGAGAGAAATTTCACATCTACACATTTAAATATAACTCAGTAAATTTATCCCTTGCTCTTCACTTTGGCAATTTTTACCCTCTTGCACCTTAAATCAGATATAGATTATAAACCGCAAGCATTTACACTTGTTACAGGAAAAGTGAGATCTCACAAATTGTGTTCTGTGTTAGGCAAAAGTACTGTTAGAAAAACATCCCTCTGAATAACACAGGTGGTTTTAGTTGAGGGTGGAGTTTGATGTATAGAAAACCAAGGACCAGGAAGTGAGTCTTTGTTTTTCAAAGAAGTGCTTACTACTAATTAGTAAAGGCAACTCTATAATTGGTAACCAGCTTCACCCTTATAGAATACACTTAATTTTAAAAAATGAGATGTCTTAGCTAATAGCTGCTGATTTATCTTGTACATTTATGTTTCTGAAACTAGAAAGAACATTAAGTACTGATCTACAATATATGTGTTGCCTTTTGTTTAGAAGCAATTTTATTGCAAAATGATTTTGACCAATATTTGAAGCATTTTTAGGTAACTTTGATCAATACTTTCAAGCCAATAAAAATGAAAGAGAAATCAGGTAAAATGCTGAGAACTTATCTTGACTATATCGAGTCTAAATTAATTTGGGATGGGTTTTAGGATCTAGGAAAGAATAGCAAGAATACAAAAATATTAAAATATTCAGAAAACATATATTCTGACTATGGGTGTCCATTAAGTCTCCTAAGGGAGGAAAGAATTAAGGAAATGTGATAATGAATTTATAATCTCAAATCAAATCCTGCAACTATTATTAACTAACTATTCAAACTTGGGCAGATACTGAACTACTCAGAATATTCCTCAACTACAAAATGGTGGGTGTGGACACATTTCTTAGGTCTCTTCCCCTTTTAACATTCCAGGGATCTACAGGGGAGTAAGGTTAACGTCAAGAGAGCGTCAGGCCAGCCAGCAAGAGTAGGGCCATCTAGGAGGGGATTAATATTGTAGACAGCTCAACACTGTTGGTCCTGATGACCTTCTAGCCGAACCCCTGCATCTTCCAGCTGAGGCAACTGACGGAGCAATCTCTGGGCGGACTTGGCCACATCCAGGGAGGGACAGAGCCAGGTGTCAGCACCCACTCCTCCCTCTCTCAGGCTGTTCCTTTTCCCAGCTTGACTCATTGTAAGCAGTAATAGTTCATACTCATGAGGGCTTATAACCTACAAAGCCCTGCTTTATGTTATTTATAGATATTAAATTCATTTAAGACGCACATCTACCTTCGGAGGTAAATACTATCATTATCCTCACTCAGAAACTGAGGGGACTGAGCACATGAAAAAGTTAAGAACATTGTCCGAGGTTGACGTGTGTGTGGAGGAGTGAAGACAAACAAAACTAAGTGAAAAACATTTTGATTTGACTGACTGCTGCACTCCCTCGCCTGTGAACAAGGCAGCTTGGTGTGAAGCCTGTGGGATTAGAAGTCACACGAGGTTACTGAGAGCTTTATTACTCTGCAGTGAAAACTCTTTAATAGAGTCACAGCTTTAGGGAAGGCATGTCTCCCACCAGCAACACCGTGTCGGTGGGCCACTTGGGGACGGAAGAGCAGAGGGATAGAAAACACCTCTACATTTTAGACATGCTCTCCCCAAGTGGCCTCCTCTCATTTACTGACAGAAAAAGGCCCTCCTTTGAACACTTGCCAACATCCTTTCTGGTTTGCATTGAACCTCAGGAAGAACCAAACCAAGCACAAGAGATTTGCTTACCTTGCAGAGACCACAGTCACCGAGAGGGCCCCTCTCATGTTTAAAATTACACACCTCTTTTGGTCACCCAGTGAGAACATGAGATGATAAAAATGCTTTTAGCTTCCAGTAATAGGGAGATAAAATTAGATTTTAAATAAAGTTAGATTGGAATTAAAACTAAGCACATTAAAAAGTAGGTAGGGTGGGTTTTCGGATCTAAGAAAGAATAGTAAGAATGCAGAAATATTAAAATGTTTACAAAACTAACCCTGAATATATGTGTCTGTTAGGTCTCCAAGGGAGGGAAGAATTAAGGAGACTGTCGTATGAATTTATAATCTCAAATCAAATCCTGGGACTACTACCAAGTAGTTATTTGACCTTGGGCAGAATCTTCCTCAACCACAAAACTGTGCAGACACATTTCTTAGGTCCCTTTTCATTTGTACTCTAGGAATCTACAGGGAAATTAAGCTAGTAAACTGATTTATAAGAATTTAGCTTTATTTCTTTTTGAAAGGCTGAGCAAAAATTATAAATATGGATTAGAAAATATATGCAACTTCGTATATTATAAAGTATCAATATTTCATTACTTTAAATACATAGACATGAGCACATGTGCTGGGAAGCTCCCTGTCTGAAGCACTAGTACCTCACTTCTAGTCAAAGTGAAAAGTTTTGCAAGATAATCTGTTTGGGACAGACAGTCGTGGATGTGATGGAGCTAGTTGCCTTGTTTGGAGCGCACATGCACACAGCCTGGGATCTTTACTCATCCATGACCCTCTGGTCTAATACTTATGTTCCCCCTTCTAGGTGTATTTGCTCTCTTCTATGTCAGTAACCAGTTTCGGACTTTCCCTTTCTCCAACAAGGACCAGTGCATAATCTTCTACAGTGGCGTGCGAGGAGCTGGAAGTTTTTCACTTGCATTTTTGCTTCCGTTGTCTCTTTTTCCCAGGAAGAAACTGTTTGTTACTGCTACTCTAGTAGTTATATATTTTACTGTATTTATTCAGGTTGGTTGAATTATTTCATACTTGAAATGAGAAATTTTTGGGGGGATTATGTATTAACTGTATAATACCAAAACAGAGACACTGTATCTGATTTTCAGACATGTGGCTCAATACTCAAACTAAATTCCCAATATTTCTAGATCATGTTTGTAGTCATCCTTTAACCTCTAGTTATGTTGTCTTTTAATCAGTAAAATATAAATATATTCCTGGGTAACAGATGAATCATAACTATTCTGGGTATTGCTCAAAATGAGATTCCAATTAGTACCACATAGCATGAGTTTTTAATTTTAGTTGGAGTTATCTCTCAACAAACTAATGAGAGTTTATTTTAAGGAATGAAACTAAATTCCTGCTTTAATATATAGATGTAATGTCTACTTTTATTGTAGAATTTAGAAGAATTAAATTAGAACAAGTAAACACTGGAGCATTTTTCCAGTAGAAACTAGTACAAAACAAAGACATAAAAATTGGAAGTCCTAATAGTTTTGCTAGTAGATTTGTTCCTGATAATGACAATCTTCCAAAAAAACCCTTTATTTTGTTATTTATGATCTAGGGAATTACAATTGGCCCCCTGGTCAGGTACCTGGATGTTAAAAAGACTAATAAAAAGGAATCCATCAATGAAGAGCTTCATATCCGTGTAAGTTCTCTCTTTTTATAATTAGTAAATTAATAGGATGTTCCCCATTTGTCACCTATGTGAGCAGCTTGGGCTTTGATGAGACATGTGCACATAGCCTCTTTCCCAGCTCCACAAAGAGTGACTGTATTGTGTCTTATTGCTGCTGTAAGTAATTACCATAAACTCAGTGGCATAAACACACAAAGTATTATCTTATAGTTCTGGGGGGGGGGGGTCAGAAGTTCAAGATGAGTTTCACTGGGCTAAAATAAAGATGCTGCATTTCTTTCTAGGTTCTAGGGAAGTGTCTGTTTCTTCCCCTCTTCCAGGCTGAGAGCTGCTGGCATTCCTTGTGGGTCCTTTCCATCTTCAAAATTAGCAGTGACCACTCAGGTCTTTCTTAGCTGCATCATTCTGATAGTGACTCTTCTGCCTTCTTCTTCCTTGTTAAAGACCTTTGGGATTATACTGGGCCCATGTGGATAATTTAGGATATTCTATTTTAAAGTCAACTGATTAGCAACCCTAAGTCCATCTCCTATCTTCATTCTTCTTTGAATATAAACTAACGTATTCACAGGTTCTAGGGATCAGGAGGTGGACATCTTTGGGGACCATTATTCTGCCTATCACAGCCTTTCATAGCCCCTCAGAGATTCATGTTTGTTCCACATGCAAAATGCATTAACTCTATCTTAACCACACAAAGGTCTCAATCCACTGTAGTATTAACTCAAAGAGCAAAATCTCATTTAAATGTTATGTTTTAAAGTCCAAAATCTCATCATGTCAACTTGTAAACCAGAGATGGTTGGGGCTCCAGGTATCATCCATCCTGAGGCACAGCTCCTTTCCATTTCTGAGCCTGTGACACTCAAGAAACAAGTTATTTGCTTCCAAAATACACCAGATGGAGAGTCATAGAATAACAGAGGTGGACATTCCTTTCAAAAAGGGGGAAAATGGAAGGAAAAAAGGGGTCATTTGTCCCAAGCAAAGGCCCAAGTCTGCCTGGGAAAACTCTTTTTTGTTTCAGGCCTGGGAACAATCTCTGCTGATTCTTTGCTTCACCCTCCGGATTCTCAACTGCATACTCTTGAGTCACACTTTCCTTTTCATGAAATGCAGCATGTGTTTGCACTTCATCAGTTTGATCAGCTCATTTCTTGCCTGGAGAACTTTAGGATCTGACAGCCTGCTCTCATGCTGTCTCCTTTCATTTTGGTCTGAGCTGCCAGTGTTTCTATTTGGGTCCAGCAGGGAAACAGAAGCAGTAGGAGATGTACTAAGGGCTCTGTTGTGAGGGGTAGGGTTACTACCCACTGTGGAGGCTGGCTAGGCAAGTACAATATAGGTAGGACAGGCCAGCAAGGAGGGTGGACTGGAACTCTCAAGCTTGACCTACAGCTGCTGTGCACGAGTGGAACTTTCTTCTTCATCAGGGAAGTCTCAGCTCTACTCTTCAGGCCTTTCAACTGATCAAACCAGGCCCACCCAGGTTATCTAGGATAACTATTAAGATTAACTATTATGAACTCTAATCATATCTACAAAATACCTTCATAGCAGCATCTAGATTAGTGCTAATAATCACTAGGGGCTAGACTAGGCAAGCTGACACCTCAAAAGCTGTCACAGTGACTAATATTCCAAGTTGCCCTACTTGCTTCTAAAACCATTGGTACCAATGGCACATGGGACCCTCAGCTGTTTCTGAACTTTTAATTAGGAAGGGGTAAAGACTTCGACTACTTCTGCAGACATGGCCCAGTGGCAATTTTTATGAAAGCATCCAACTCTGATGAAGATGAAAAGGAAGTTGAGCATGGATTTTACCTGTTTAAGTGCAACACAATGTTGAAGGGATGCCATTCTGTGTGGCTCAAGGGAATAGTAATGGGAAGAACTAAGGGATGGAAGACAGAGGGAGAAAGACTTCACCTTTGTTAATGAAGAGCATTCTGACAATTGTTTCTTGTGTGGCACACCCAAAGATGAATTGGATGTGCGCAAGCAATGATTAGGAACACTTGGCATAGGTGCTGAGCAGGAGATTCAAGCTTTGAGGAGGTCAAGCTTTGAGGAGGCCAAGATAATTTTTTAGGTTTCTTTCATCCCTGAGAGTTCATGATTCTAATGTTGGAGTAACTGATGAAGTCTTTCAAAATCAGCCCTGAATTCATGGCCGAAATCATGTGAGGAAATAAATTTAAATTCCGGGAAACCCAAACCAAAAATTTTCAAGACCATTTGAAAATGTTCAACAGATGGGAATAGGGAGTGAGTGTTTTAAAATACACAATGCCTTAAACATGATTGAAGGTTTTTGTCTCTATCTTTATCTCTTATGTTCATTATTTTGAAAAATTAGAAAATACAGCTGAGAGAATGAAACTTGGATATTTTACTCCTTTCTTATTTATTTATTTTTCAAATAAAGTTATAATTATTGGTAGAATGTACATTAATTACTTCAGAATTAATTTGTAATCTATTTTGCAAAAATTTTTAGAATCTGGTATAAACTTCAATTATTACAAATTTTATTTACTTGAAGACTAATTCATAAATTTTGAAGAGATTGTGCTTTTTTTCTGAATTCCTGTGAACAATTTGGATAAAGCAAGCATGGTGTAATTGGCTTGGGTGTTGAAATGTAAATAGTAAGAGAAATAGATTAAAAAATGAGGCATATAGATAAATTTTGTAGCTGTATGTTGGTATATAATAGAATATCTATAGAATTGTATTCTTAGAAACTTTATAAAGTGGATGCTGGCATTTTCTTTTCTTTTGCAATGAAATTAAAAGTTAACAGTTAATCATTAGACTTTACTTCCAAGTGACTTCAGTAATGTGAAATTTCCTCTATCATTTTAGAAAAATATTATTCAAGGCAAATGGCAGGTAACTGGTCTTTATTGCAAGCTATGTGCATTATTAAGGAACTTATCTACAGAGTCTCTGAATCATGAAACTAAGTTAAATTATTATGAAAGACATTGTAAGTTTCAGTTACAAGGACAGAGTGACAGAAGAGAGGACAGGCTCCAGGAAATTAAAGCGTCCTTTGTTTTTCCAAGTGTGTTAGCATTCTTTGTGTGTCTTTTAGAGTTAATGTTTCACCAGCAATCATTTTCTTGTTTGGCTTGGCAGCTGATGGATCACTTGAAAGCTGGAATTGAAGATGTGTGTGGGCAATGGAGCCACTATCAAGTGAGAGACAAGTAAGGAGGTGGAGGGTCTCACCATCTAGGAGGGGAATCTGGGGCTTGGGAAACTCACAACTTGACACCGGAAGCTGAACATGAAGCCAGAAAGAAGCCACGAGTAGGAGACCAGGCAATCAAAGGTCCTAGCAGCCATGGCATGCAAGAAGATGGTGGAATTCCTGGGAATCCTGAGCCTGGAAAGTGGAGAACTATCAGTGGGTAGACTAGGCTGTCTCAGAGAGAACCAGTACACGGAGAGATGGAGATTAGAGAAGTCAGATTAAGTTTAAAATAAAGTCAAGTTTCCATGGAATGACTGGCTTCCTAAGTCTGCAAAGGGAGTTTGGCATCGCATCAGGGATCCTGCAGAAGAGATCCTCCATGGTTAGGGGAGGCTGTAGTCAAAGACCTTGAAGAATCCTTCCCACCTGGTGATTCTGTAGGATTGCCAAAGTCCCCTCCCCCTGGCACCTCTTACATTTCAGAACTCTTTCTCTTCCTGGAGTGAATCTATAGCCATATTTCTGAATTATGGCTCTGAGGAGAGTTTTTCTGAGGATGAGAAAGAGGAGTTTTGGACTTACACACAGCTGTTTGGAAGATGTAGGAGTTAGCAGTAGCTGCATTAACCAAATGGTAGATGTTTCCTCTCTAGGGCTTGCCAACAAATTGATGTTGGTGATATCAAAGAGACTATGTTATATTTTATGTGGTTGCTTTAACTGTCCTGTGTTATTGCTGTCATTCTCATTTCAAAGGTGTGTAAACCATCTTTGCCAGTTAACCTGCTCAACAGAAGAACCTTGATCTGAAGTGAGGTCTGACTTTAAAACTAACTCCTTGCTTTCAATAAACCACAGAGCCCCAAACAGAGAGCCTAGGGACATAATGCCATGGTTAAATGTATAGATTATAGAAGAATGTTAAGAATTAAATAATCGATTCTGTTTAAGTTATCTTAAATATATACTCAGTCTCCTTTTAGAATGAGGTCTCACTTTCGGGAGGAAGGTGGTGCAGGAGATAAAGGCTGTGAGTTGTCAGTGAGCATGTGATAACTAAATCCGTGGTCATAGGGGAGAGAACCACAGGGGTGCAAAAGGGGAAGCTGCCTGAGGACAGGACTCTTGAGAAGCTCCCGTTCCCACGGGGCAGGTAAGAAAGAGGAAGGGCAGAGGAGGCTCAGAAGAAGTTGTTAGGACAGGTATTATGCTGGATGTGGGGGGCGCTGAGGAAATGACCCAGGGGCACATCAGGAGGAGCCCCCTGGCAAGCAGGGCAAGGGAAATGGCACCCACTGGCATCGAACAGCATAAGGTCAAGGTGAGCTTGTTGTGAACAGCATCAGACAAGTCCTGACGGTCAGGGAGCTGGTTACAGTGGATGGAGGAATAAACAGGAACACGAGCAAAGGCAGCAAACTGGGACCTGAGGAGCTGACCCAGTTGGAGGGAGAAGGGCCCAGTGTGAGCCAAACACTGACCCCAGCACTAAGGAATCACAGAGGAGGCTTGACTGATAAAGGGCCCATCCACCACTCAGACTGGGAAACCAATCACCATATAATAAGCCCACAGCCCTGGGAGTTATGTTGCCCCTAGAAAATAAAGCAGGCTGACAAATTACTCTTTGAATGTAACATGATTGGAAGCATTGAAAATTCCTACTCGGAACAAATGGCTGACTCTGGGGCACCACACGCACACATTCAGCTCAGCTTGATGGGTGGGCGGGAGGATTGCTACAATAGTCAGCGGCCATCAGCATCGACCCTATTCAGATGCTCCGTCATTCAGACTGTCAGAGATACGTGGCTTCTCCCTCCCATCCCCTTAATTGGCAGGATTCAAAATGGTCTTCTGCATAATGGGCAAAACTACTGTAACTACTGGGCCATTTAAATGTATTGGGTTCTGGTTGAATGGGCCAGTATTACTGTAAGTGCAGCTGCCACCGTTATGAGCTATTAGAATGGAAGATGTGTTCAAAAGCCTCAACCCTCTCATTTCTTCTCCTGCAATTGGGGCTGAGCTGGCCTGGGCCTCCCCAGCTCACAATTTATGCACACTTCTTACCCTGATTGCCACTTGACCTTTCCTTTTGTTTAATTGATTTTCAATGTATTCAGGCCAGTAGGCCATTCATTCTTTATTTTTTTAAAAAAGTATAAAAAAGTCTATGATTTAAAAAAAAAAAGTGTGTGCAAAGTCTCTGAATTCCTGGTACTGTCCTGGTGTTTTTCAGATTAAAGTTAAGTTGTAGTTTGTTTTATGAAAAATACATACTTATATATACAGAGGTTAAAGATTTCCAAATGTTGATTTTCATTTTTAGGTTTAAGAAGTTTGATCACAGATATTTACGGAAAATCCTAATCCGAAAGAACCTGCCAAAATCAAGCATTGTTTCTTTGTACAAGAAGCTGGAAATGAAACAAGCTATTGAGATGGTAGAGATGGGGATACTAAGTTCTACAACCTTCCCCACGCCCCATCTGTAAGTCACATCTGCTCTTTGATCTAGACTTTCCACGCCAGAATTGCAAGGGGCACTAACACATTGTTCCATTTAAGATAATACTGGAAGTGAAGAAGCAGACATAGGAAGAAATCATGAAAAAAAAGATGATCTAAGTCTTGGCATTTTGTAGTTTGGCTACGAAGTGTTTCATCTAGTTTCTGAAAACCACTTTTTGGCAAAAGTTGCCTATTGTATTTGGATATCACCTTTCTTGGGGTGGGGAGTGAATTTATAGAATAACAGCATATTTTACAAGACTTTCCCTTTCTCTTCCTGATTAGAAATCTCTACCCTTTCACCCCTGCTCATTGATTCTGTGAATCCTACCATTGTATTGCTCTCATGAGGCAAATTCTCTTTGTTGGTCAGCACGGGGTGCTGCTAACATAGATTTGGGGATGAGTGGGTGTAGGAGAGATGTGGCAGTTGGTAGGCTCTTTAAACTAAGAGCTGTGTTTGTAGTTGTGTCTAAGATTTGTGTGAGAGTTTGAGATTTTTCTTGAGTCTGTGGAACGCACACAGCTTGGTGCAGGGGGAGGACTGGCTTCTTGTGGAGCAGAGACCCTGAAGGAGTTGGAGTAGAGGCAGGGTGTCCGTATTGTTGTATGAATCCATCAGGACCAGATGATTCCCTGTGAAACATGATGCTTTTGGTGGAACATCTGGAAACCAAAGGTCTCAACAGCTGGCTAGACATTTTTAAAGTTGCTTTAACCCTGTGACATTTAGCAAAGTCCCTTCAGTGTCACAAGAAGTAATTCAACCCCTCAAAGATGCCCAGTTTTCTCCTAAGAAATGGTTTATGAATTGGAAAAATTAGTCACAAGTTGTATTTAGAATAAGGAACACCAGCTCCTCCATCCTGTCATCTTCAGCAGGTAAAGACACTTGATCATGCGATTCAATTATGCACTCATGTTTGAAAGGCAGTTTGAGAGAACAGCTAAGAATAGAGAGCAGCAAAATTGTCACGAATGTCTGAGTGTTATTTCTCATCCCTTACTCACAAAAGAATCGGAAACACCATTGCTTTTCTCACACAGCCTGGGAAAAAATCTAAACTAGTGTCCCTGAGGCCATCTGGGTATAAACAGAAAGCTTCCTGCCTTATTTCTTGGTGAGACTGTTTTTGTAGTTGGGTTGTTTGTTCTGGTGCTGCCCATTACATGGCTAGAAGGAAACTTAGGACACTAAAATGCTAACATTTATTGTCAATGCCATGCTCTGCCATTATTAGGGCCTGAGACAAAGGAAACATCAGTCATATTGATCCTGTTGTTATTGAAATGTTGATACTATATTAATCATGCAATTTTTGGCATTAATCTTTATTTTCTAACCTAACTTCATTTGATTACTACACTTGATTACTGAACTTTCTCAATTCCTCTTACCAGAGAGGAGGACTCTCTCACCCTGCCTTAGGTCCAACCTTGTTCCTTAGGCACCTGTGAGGAGCCCTCTGCCAAGGACTGTGAAAGCAGGTGCAGTCACTGCTCTCATGGAAATCAGATCCAGGAGAGCCATGGCATTAATAAAAAAGATCACACGACATATAATCATCACATCTAGGGTTCTATAAGAGTATAAGAGATGAAACCTTCCCCTGGTCCCTGGAGTCTGACTTGCTCACTGAAGGATGAATGAGAGTTAACTGAATGCAGTGCAGGAGGGCTGGGCAGGTTCAGGCAGTTGAGACCATTAGGAACTTCCTCCACTGGTCTGCTTACTAGTTATGTGAGCACTTGGTCAAGGAACGTAGGGGTGCTTATCTCAAATGAGAATCAGCCTATCATGTGCCCAGACATACTTTGAATCTCTGTAGTGCAGCATAGGTCATAAGCTGTTGCTCCTGTTTCTGACCTAAGGCAATTTTTAATCCAGCTGTATTTGGTGGGAGCCCTTCTGCCAAGTCAATTATATTTTCAGACATTGATTGAAGGTTAGTAAGAGTCTTTTAGGTTGGAGATACCTTTTTCCCTCCTAAAGCCCAAACCAGTTAGTTTACTGGAGTGGGAGAGGATATTTTTTAAAGTGATATTTAATACAAGTTTAGTATTTAAATTGCATTTATTTGATCTCATCAGAAATCTGGAGGACATCAAGCAAAAAGGAATTCCTCTTCTAAGATCAAAGCAGCTAAATTCTTAAAAAACAAACCTTCATACAATAATAGGAAGAAGAAGTGTGTACTCAGCTCACTTTTTATTATTCTGTATGAGATGATAACAACAAAATGCACATATATTTTTTTCTTTAGAAGTTTAAGCAATTGTTCTACCAGCAGTTGAGTTTCCAAACTCTGGGACCCTCAGGAGAACACTAGCACCAGAAGTGGTCTGTAGTACAGCACGGATCACGGTGATGCTATGGAATCCCATTACTTCCACATCCATTATTTTATCTGACCTTCAGACAACTGTGGAGTAGGTAGATATGTACCTGGATTGCCATTTTAAATATGAGGCACCTCATTTTTCCACTGAGTAGTAATCCTTTAGAAATATCAGAAGATAGAGGCTCAAACTGATTAATACTGTCCAAGCTTTAAGAAGTAGTTGGTTAATTTTTCATTAATTATTGTTTTAAGTTTTTAATTGATCACATTGAGAGGTATTTGTTTACATTTAGGCATTTTTACACCGCAGACTCTGGAAGGAAGATTCTGATATCATTTTCACTTCCAGAATGGAACACTGTATTGTTGGGAATTAGGCCCTCTTCTCTGCCACTCTTCACTCATTCTAAAACGTTGGTCATCTTGGTGACCTTTCTAAACAGACATACGGCAACTACACACACAGAAGGGCTGGGGGTATCCTTGCTCACTTAGTGGGCATGCCATCGGTCATCTTCTCATGCATTTCCCATGGATTTCATGGATAAAGCTAATGAAAGAGGATGGATTCATCTGAATGAATCAGGGTATACTATTTGATCTTTTGGCAATCCCTATTATGGCATAAATACAGCATCTTCTAGATTTCATGTCTCTATTGCTGTGTTTAGAATTGAAGCCTCTTTTTACATTATTATAGAGTCTGATAAAAAGAAAAAATTGAGAAATGTAAATCTTATATTCAGATATATTTAGACTCAGATTTCCCCAAGAGTTTAATAGCCATGAAATTACCACAGGACTGTTATTTAAGGTGACATAGATTTCCTTTACAGATAATGAATGAGTGTTCCAGTGACAAGAGTCTTTCTGTTTGCGATTTTACCTTTTTGACCTAGAGATTTCCAACATTAAGTTTTTTAAAGGATTTCATCTTTCCTGGGCATGTTATGATCATTTCGGGGATAATTTTGCTAAAGAAGTGCATGTAGAAAACTCCAGGTATCACCTTGTCCAAGTTACTAATTTCACTGTGTAATTTTATAACTATAACTCCTCAGTATGCATCAGTGAGCTACAATGCCTTTAGGAAACTTTAATAACATTCGGCCAGCAGCCAGAACGGACCTTAAGTCTGGCCCTTTCCAAAGTGGTCATTATAAACTGGGGAAAATGCCAAGTTAGATCTATTGCTATCCCAAGTTTAACTTAATCATTTCCTTCACCAGTAGTTCGTCCTATTTGATTGTTTTATTATGAACACAGGAAGTGTAATTTTTTTATTACAGCTGTTGTTTCTGCTTAGCAGTAGACTATTTCCATCATAATAAAGGAATGTGTTCAGATTGTGGCAATGTGTGGGTGTATCTAAGTCAGGATAAATTTTATTTGAAGCTAATTTAAACAGTTAAGTTGAAATGTCCTGATAATAATGTGTAAATCACCAAGGGTGGTAACTGAATTATCAGTAGTGCTTGCAGCTCTGAGATATAGAAATTCTGACTTCAGTGATAATGTAGAAAGGGCAATAGTTAGTCTACAGATAGCATTGCTAAATAAATCCTGGCATATTGTGAAATACACTGTCCAGGTCCTTAAAAATCTTTCACCAATTGTACATACCTTACAAAATGTCCTATGTAATTTATGGCTTAAACTTCTACTGTTTGGGGGAGAAATACTTAAAAAGTGGCCTGTATTGAAACTAGTAGCTACTTGTCCCTGTGATCAGTTATTCTGAGACCTTTGCAGGCAGATATTAGCACATCAGTGCCCTCAGGCATTCAGAAAAGCTGCAATGAGAAAGAAAAATCTAAACTCTTAAGGGTTTAAACCAAGATATTAGGGGAGATGATAGTATTCAAAATGGGTTTTTCTTTAGTTCTCTCCTTTTTGTTCTTCAGTAAACATATATTATTCATACAACAAAAAGTCCCTAGAAATTATCATCACTAGATTAAAGTGATTGAAATCAAATATACTTGTCACATGAGGATTCTGCACATAGCAATGCCATGACTTTGAAATCCTTAGAGGACAATTGTGCATTGATAGGTGACTTGGGCCTGACTTGGCTTTTAAACCCTTTCGGTAGACGGGGGTGGGGGTGGGCTCATGGGGAAGGACATGCTGTCAGCGTGGAGGCAGGGAGCAGTCAACTGCTTCCAGAACTCCTGTGCCCAGTGTCTCAGCTGGGTTGACTTTCACAGCATAAATTGTCTAATTCTTCTTGTAAAATATGATCCTAGTTTCTTACAATTGTTCTTTAACCAAAGATAAAATCCCTACAGGGATAATTCCAAGATAAATGTACTCATACACGTACTCTTTTAAAAATATTAATGCTCCCTTCGATCAATGCTGCTCAAAATGTGGTGTGAGGATGGTGTTATCCAGGGGCAGTTTGTCACCTTCCACAATGAGATAAGTACAGACCTAACCAAGAGTCAGCCTTGGCTGAGAAATCTTTTTGTTGAATCTAACAGTAAAACATTTGGATGGCACAAAGTAATAATCAGTTCTTACATGATGAAGTAGAGAGCATGGTATCTTTTAAAAATGTGTTTTCTAATAATTGATTTTTATTGTATTTTGCATTTTTTTGTGTCTGTTCATAACTGATACAAGGAAAGAAGTAAGTGTTCCACCACCTTAAACCCCTTTTTAAAAATGAGTTAGCATAATTCTCACATAAAAGCTATAGGCCAAGGAATCATATTTTTCAAATGTAAATTCACACACATGTACTGACATTTCACATGAACTTACTAATAAACCAATAGGAGAAATTATGTAAAAACTGGGGTTCTGAAACTTAGAACTCCAAGTGCACTGATACTCTGGCAGCACTCTGGCCAACATGGAATAATGCTTGGCTTCCTTCCCATAATGTTTCCAGGGCCCAGAGGACACAAGGAACCAAAAGGCTTTCCCCTGAAGATGTGGAGTCCATGCGGGACATTCTGACACACAGCATGTACCAAGTTCGCCAAAGGGTGTGTATAGGCCATCTGACTCTCCCCCTTGCCTGTCCTTGGAGCCAGTCCTCCAGGAATCCATTGTCGTTCACATTGCCCATTTTAAAGCAGCCTTCTTGTGGAACAGTTTCTCTCTGCTTCCTTTGGGGAACAGAAAGTTAATTGTTATCTTTCTGCAGCACTAGTGGCACCCGTGGTATAAAAAGAAATGCAAATCCAGTTGCAGGCCCTAGGGGTCAGGCTGCCCCCACCCTACAGCCTGGTGCTTCCAGAGCCAGCAGGTCCCTCTCCCTCTAGAGACAGGCAAGTGGAGGAGCTCAGCACCCCCACCACCAGCAAGAGCCAGATGTCGTGGTGCTAGAGTTGTCATGATCCGATTGCCTGCAAAAGAGCTTAGAAAACTGAGATGGTTTAGGTTAGAATATTGAAACTGCAAGGCTGAAAGCCTGAATGGAAGGAAACACATTGGGCTTATTATTTTCCACTTTTGGAGAAAGGTGTGGAGTCTATGCTAGCCCTTGGGAACTGGTCCGCAAGGCATAGTAAGAGCATTTCTGGCAGCGGCGGGTGAGTCCTTCTGAAACTGTGATACACTCAAATGATAGTTAAACTTGCATCCTCTAAACAGGAGGCCTTTTTGTTTGAGGCTTCAGTTGAGCATTCCAGTTCTTGCATATAAGTGAATTCATTTGTGAGAGCCGTGGTATCTGTGACTATGATCATAATCTTCATGGGACCGACAAAAAAAATTATCCAGTCCAAACCCTTCATTTTTAAGAAGATACTAAGGTTATTAGAGTGTTTATCTGATATGACTAAGGTCATAAAACAAACCCAGGTCTTTCAACTCCTACCCAGTGCTTTCTCCATGATTCCAAATTTCCGTGATCCAGTGAAAGTGAGTGTTCTCTGGCTGCTTGTTTTGGAAGGGTCAGTGATTAAGGGGAATGTGTCATGAAAGGCTCTGTGCCTGTTGAAGGAATAGAGGTCCGCGTCAGTCGTGGCACGCTTGGAGTAAATTCAACTGCTTTCAAATCATTCCAAGTGAAACTGTTTCAGTAAGACTATCACATTTTGCCTTAGATACACAGTCAAGAACTTCCTGGTTTGATGAATATCAGCTGGCTTAGTGAGGGCCAAGGCCCGAGGGGTGCCTGGTGGTCAGCCTTTCCCCATGTTGATGACGGCTGAGTTTAGGCAAGGTCTAGAAACGGAGACCGAGGCCCCGGGACTCCACCACTGCCTGAAGTGAGGCCAGCTGCCCAGTCTCTCTTCCTTCCTGCTTGCGGCTTCCCACATAGCCACCTTTCTTCTTCCTCTGTGAGCGTGCCCATGACATCTGTTCCCAGCTTCCTACCGTCTAAGCCACTTACATTCCCCTTTCTTGTTGCCCCCAAATCCCAGATAGGTCCTGAGAAGTTGCGTGGAAGAGCATAAACAACCAACAGAGTGTCTCCAAGCCTCTTAGGTGCCTTTGCCTCCACTTCTGTTGTCTGAGGCAGTGAAACTCACCCATCCTTCCCTGCTCTCTGTCGTTTCGGGGTCAGTGACTCTTCTCTTCCTCCAGCACCCTGTTGCTCTTGTGAAGGAAAAACTGCTCCAAAGATGCAACTGTCCGTCTACTTTGTGTCTAGTGGGCACGCTACAGTTTGGAGGATTGTCACGGAAGGTGACATCTGCAGTCCTCTAACCTGCGTGATAGGCCTGGAGGTCTCAGGTGGTGTCGAGCTAGGGGTGTGGGTGTTTCTCATGGTCTGCATCCTGGCAGAGACCAGCCTGAGAGTCACAAGTCACTTCCGGACAAGGGTGGGATGGGCTCAGGGTCTGACTCCTTGCTACACACTCTGTCTTGTGTTCTGGCTGGAAACGTGACCATCTCACATATTGACCAGGCGAAGGTCTATTACAAATCCTTATGTTAAATACTGATAAACCTTAATCTCTTTTGTACTTTTTATTAAAAAATAAAAGGAAATATAAGGATTAGTGTTTTCTTTTCTCACACTTGGAGTCATCTCGTGTCCCTTGGAGTGTGTGCACCCCACGTAGGAGACCCTCGGCCTGGAGGGTGGAGTCTCCTGTCTTGACAGGTTGTCCCCAGCCCCTTCCTGTACCATTAGTCTCAGTTCTCACGGTACTCTGAGTAGAGAACTTCATTCCCCTGTGATAACAATGCCCAGCTCTGCTCCAGTGGCCCCCTCCAATCCTCCAAATTGTTCACAGCTATGTCTCATCTCATGTGTTCCCTCTTCCTGGAGGGAACATCCATTCATCTCTCAAAATTCAGCTCACCTTCCCCCCCAAGACTGGGGTAAGCACCTTTTGTCTATACACTCCAACTCCCTGCAGTCCACTGTCTTAGCACTTAGCTGGGCCTATGTAGTACGTGCTTATTTGTTTTATGTCCCCAGTAGACTGTCAGCCTTTTGAAGACCATAATTCTAATGTATCCATGTTTTAGAAATCCTGTGCTTACCATGGCACCTGCACATAGAGCATTTGCTCTTTTGCTGTTGAACTGACAACCCTTATTAAAGCATCCATTAACCAGGAGTCATAACGCCTTAGTCTTGATCTCATTATCCAATGGGACCTACTGACCCAGGGGACACAGGATATTCACTGGTGAACCTTGAGTGAGAAGAAACAAGAGAAGTTCCAGTTAAGCCTTTGCAAGCATGTGAAGACTGATGTTGGTCTATGGCTTACGATAGATTTTCCCTGGCCTGGGTAAGGACAAGGAAGAAATTGTCATGAAAATAAATGGAAGGGTTGTTCATTGTTTGAGATTAAGTTCTTAGCTAATATTTTGGTTAAAAGACCTCTTCCTTTTGGAACTGGTGATAGTAATTGGTTGATTTTTTTAATGTATCTTTAATTGAAAAAATTTTAAAATAGCAACCTCATAGAAATTCTCAAAGTTTTGACATTTAGTTTTGACATTTCCCTGATCCATTAAATCCAAAAACATGACCTGGGAAAGAAGTGTGTACTTGGGGAAGCCAAAGTCTGTGGGTTCCCTGGAGCAGACCACTGCAAGGACAGTAGAGGGACGGCACTCTCTCCAAGCCAGAGGGTGTGGGCTCCATCACAGCTCTGTCCTGACAGGGCATCCGCACAGCCCTTTCTCCTCAGGGCACAGTTTGCTTCTCTGTAATGGAGGCTGAGGCCCAGATGACCTCCATGGTGCCTGCTTGCTCTAGTGGCCCTAGGTCGTGATACTTCCATGGTTTCCGAAGGTTACAAATTGTCCTGGAGATGTCCGTATGTATTTCACATTCCATTCTTCCTGCAGACCCTGTCCTACAACAAATACAACCTGAAACCCCAAACAAGCGAGAAGCAGGCCAAGGAGATTCTGATCCGCCGCCAGAACACCCTAAGGGAGAGCGTGAGGAAAGGCCACAGTCTGCCGTGGGCGAAGCCGGTAAGGACTCCTGAGGCGCCTGGAGCCTCACCAGTCCCCGCTCAGGGCCTCCACTGGGGCCCACCACAGGTATTTAAACAAATAAAACTCACCACCTTGTTGCCAGAGAAATGCAAAAGTACGTGGGTGCAGGACCCCTAACAACCTCCCTTTTCATGGGTCAGACGACTCCCCACGATGGGACAGTGACAGGAGCATACTCACTGCACTGTGGCTCTAGGGAGCACAGCATGGCACCGGGTACCTAGGAGTCGTCCATGCGCCACAGCCCCCATCTCTAGGGAGCTCACTTCCCCCCTGCCAATACTTGGAGGTCTCATGTGCACATCTCCCACTGTGCGTCTGACTGTCCTGTCTGAGGCGCTATCAAACCTCCTGGGACTGCTGGATGGAGGCTGGGTCTGGATAGAGCCTATCTCTTCCCTTATCTCCATGGCTCAAAAGTAATAATAATGATGGTAATAGTATCATTAGTAACTACCTAGGGAGAGGAGTGACCTTGCTCAAACATTTTAGTTTTGTGATTTATTATTTTTAAAATAAAATAAAACTAAATATTCAACCTGTAATCTCATAGGAAGACCTATCTTAAGCACACATCTGACTAGGTAACCTTGAAAGGTACCTGTAAAATTATTAACAATATTGTGATGGAATGTTAATATTGTATTTTGAAAAAGTTAAAATGCTAAGTGTTTTTACTTTCTCCTCAAACTGTCCCCGTGGGTAATGTAACACTGGTGTTCTTATTCTCTGGTCCTGGACAATAGAACTCAGGCACAGAAAGGCTAATCGGTTGATCCTGTTATCAGTGATGAATAGAATGCAGCTCTCCTGACCATGGACTGAATATATTTTTCCATAAATGCTTGTCAAAAAAAAAACTTTGAGAGGGTCATGATGGTCTATTTTATTGTGAAGGAGAAGGAGATTCATAATGAAGGCTGATACACTCCGTGTCCTTTAAACCGTAGTAACAGAAAGCCAGTGTGTGAACCAGGTCCTGTGGGAGAGGTCTGCACCCTTTACTTTGTTGCCAGGAAGCTCTCAGTTCTGTATTAATTCTGCTTTTTTATTTCTGCTTGTTACCCACAGGCTAGTACCAAAAACATCCGCTACCTCTCATTTCCCTATAGCAATCCCCAGCCAACAAGAAGGAACAGGACACTTGCTGAATTCACGGGTAAGCTGCGTGCCTGGCTGCTTTTCTTGTTTTTCTGGAAAGAGTCAGAGAGTAAATATTTGGGGGCCTGTGGGCCAAAAGACAAAATCAAGAATATTTTGTAGGTGTATTATAGGATACAAAAAAGAGAAAACAACTTTTTTAGTAATCGGATTTAGAACTTTTATGGAAACTGAAATTTGAGTTTCACATAATTACTTATCATAAAATATTCTTCCTTTATTTACTCTTTTTTTTGGTCATTTAAAAACATGGCAACCATTCTTAGCTCAGGGGCCATGCAAAAAGTGGCAGCAGCCTAGATATAGCCCAAGGGTCATAATTTGCTGGCCCCTGTCTTAGAAAAATGTAAAATGGGCATCTTTTAAAAATTGTTGGGGGTCATCCATAGTTTAAAAATTAGTAGAATTCTTCGAAGTTGGTTAAAATTTACCAAAATAATTTAATAAATTTTACTGATTAAATATTTCCAATTTAATATGTAATTCTTAAAATTATTAATTGCCTGATGTTCTAATAAAAGCTGTTATTTTTAAAATGTGCACAACGTAAAAGGACTACTAGCAAAAGGTGATCTATAATACATGTAATATACCATGTTATCTATTGTAATTTTCCTAGATTTATTTTTAGGACTTAAAAACATGGAAATTCAAAAAAAACTAAACACATAGGGTTCTAGAATTAATTCTTTAAAGAGTGGATGGAAATATTCTTTTAAAGGAAACTTTATTTTTATTCTGACTTAAAAACATGCTTGATATAAAATCAAAACAAACCAGTAGAGAAAAGCATAAAAAAAGAAAGTTAAAAGCACCTGAAATTTCAACACCAAGATATAATCACTGTAGAACATTTTGGTGACCATCTTCCTACAAATGACCTACACCATCTTAATCCCTGTGCTATCCTACCTGTACCTGAGACAAAAAGTAAAAATAAAAAACAAAAAATAAAATCACAAACACACCATTATATTATAAATACAATCATAGTATAGTCATTGTTTTGTAATTTTTATAAATTGTCTAATTCATTCAACATATATTGTGGGCATATTTCCATATCAGTAGTTATGAACTTAATTATCATTTTTAATCACTTAATAATAATCAATGATATGAAATCACCATGGCCTATTTAGCTAAACTCTTAACACATATTTAAGGTATCTCTGAGTTTTAATGAACATAAGCAACGATATATAAGAAAAACCTTGAATCATTTATGACTGACTTTTTGCACAAATAACCAATTATTCCCTTAGTGCATTTTTGTGGAAGCAAAATCTTTAGAAAATATGTAAAAAATTACATATATTTAAATTTACCAAATCTGTGAGAAAGGTCATTTCTGAACACTTTCACCATCACTTGGCCACTGTCAAAGTTTTGAATAATAGTGATATGATAGGATGAAATTTACATGCTCTGTTTAACTTTCTTCTGAGTCTGATTTTTAGTGAGGTGAACATCTTTCATATATTTAGAGGCACTGTATTTCCTTGAGGGAAATTTCTGATTTTGCCTGTGCCCGTTTTTCCTTCTATTGAGTTGCGCTCTTAAAATAAAATGAAGAACACTATGTAACAAGGATATCATCTACTGTCCCATATTTGTAGCCAGTAGTTTTAGCTTCACATTTATCTTTTAATTTTTAGATATAGTTGCTATTCAGAAATTTTTATTCTGCCTAATCAAATCTGCTCAATCTCCCTCAGAAAAATCAGAAATGACTTACCCAACTTTTTAATTAGTGTTTTAATAGTTTAATTTTCCTGTTTAAATTTCAAACCATCAAGGTTTATCTTTGTGTAAAGATAGTGGCACACTTTGGATTGGATTATTTTCAAATGGCTACACTCCTGTCGCAACACCATCTTCCTCCAAGACTAAATGTACCTTTGTTGTACTGAAGTCTTTTATTCTGTAGAGGGATTGGACTCTCAATTCTGTTTCAACCATCTAATCATCTATTCCCAAATCACTCTTTTAACTAGTATTAATTTATAAGAAAGCTGTACCACAGTTGAAAGCAAACAAGACAAAAGAGCACCAGTTATAGGGTGTATAATGAGTTAATTAAAACAAATTTTTCCTGGTACAAATACCTGGTGCCATTCAAATGGTTTGAATGAGTAGAAAACATGAAAGTCTTATAATTGGTTCTTACAAGATATACATCAATATCAGACACCTACTGTAGCAGGAAATAACCACTCAGCTGCCTTACCTGAGCACTAATGCACCAATCTTAAGCAAAGTATTATAAATAAAATACAGTAGAACATTAAAGGAATACTACACCTTACAACATGAGATTTATTCCCGAGGTGAGGGTTGTTTAACATTCAGAAATGTGTTTATATTAGCCACTTGAATAATAAGTCAAATGATCCTATCCTTTCAATAAATGACCCAAATGGCATCTCACTCATACTTTCTGTCAAAATCACAAAATCCTTGAAAAATATTTATAGGATTTATAGAAGAACACATACATCTACTTCTCATGCTGACATCTTCTGTCTATGAAGGAGAGAATATTAGCGCCTTCCACATACAAAGGTGTCTCCCTGAGGTGAAGTCAGTTGATGCACATAGCACTCTTAGAAATGTGCCTGGTATCAAGTAAGTTCACAAGAAATATTAGCTATTATTATCACTACTGCTGAGAGACATCAAAGAAGACTTGATGTGGCAGATACGGGAATTCTTGGAAAGGAAGACAACACTCAGAAAGTCGGTTCCACATGAATGAATCTAGACATGCAATGAAATCTTAGTCCCAGTGAACCTTTTTTCAAATGTATTCAACTGATTCTAAATTTCTTTAGGTGAGCAGAAACCTTCTAGAAATCTGAGAAGGAAAAGTAATGAAGTGGCACTTATTTAACAGCTTAATAGGTTTTAAAGAATTGTAATAATAATGAGGGTTAGACTGACATAGTCTTCAATGTGCACAATTATTTGAATCCACCTTCTCTCCAAACTTGAAGGACCAGGACAAGGTCAAGGAATGGCCAGAGGGGCCCTAGGAGAGCACATGAGGGAGATGTGGCGTCCAGCAGCAGTCCTGGCTATCCAGGCTGTGACACAGTCCTCTCTCACTCTGCCCTCACCCTCCAGGATTACCTCCCCTACTCCAGATGTCTGGGAGCTCCCTGATGGTTTGCAGGGCTCCACACACTCTTCCAAGGCTCCCTTGCCTTTGGGGCTCACATGGTGCTATAAATAAAGAGGTTTGGCCTGCATACCCCTCCTATGTCCAGAGATGGCTTAAAACCCTCGTGGACTGGGGAAAATGAAGAATATCCCTGGATGGAGCATGTTGATGGTTGCACAATGTGAATCTTCTTAATGCCACAGAAATGCACACTGATTCAAAGTGCTGAAAACGAAAGAAAAATGGCATCTTTTTTGCCATTTTGTGGCATGTATTCCACCACAATTAAAGCAAAACCAAACCCTAAGGAGGGGAGGGGTAGGGTTGCCCTCAATGTCGCTAAATACCTTGTGTTGAATCAGCTCATCCACATCCATCCCTGGGGTAATGGAATCTGCCTGCCCTGAGCAGAGTGCCTCCCCCATTTCTCCTTCACCTGCCTCTGGGGGCCCTTGCCAGAAGTTAAGCCTGCCAGTTGCCTGATGATAGAGCAGATACCCCAACTTTGCTGCAGAGGTCCCCACTGAGCTCCCTGGAGCTGTCTGCCGCAGGGCTGAGCTGCAGGAGGGCTGCGCAGATGGGACGAGGCCCAGTACCCACCCTTCTGCTTTCCGCCTTCTGCCTCCACTTTTCAACCCCCGTCCTCCTCCTACTATGACAGACATAGTGACTTAATTTGAAATTTACCAAATCACTCGCCCAAGCTCCTTCCTGGTGTTTAGAATCTGCTTTTCAATAACCAGAAGGTAAACAGGAAATGGTGGCCAGAATCTGTCCTCTATGGGGAGTGTGTGCTCAGAAGCAGAGGTTGGGAACCAGGGGGCAGAGAGGGAGAGCGGACAGGCTGGCTCCAGCCGCAGAAACATCCAGGCGGTTGTTTTCTTAGGTAGTGTTGTCAGGCAGAAAGACAGAAATAAGCGGGATGGAAAGGAGAAAGGGCCCACCAAAGATGGATGACTCAGGGAGTTGATCAAATAGAACCAGAAAGCCAGAAATGACTCAAAGAGTTAATCAGAGGAAGCCACAGGGTCCAAAAGTGACTCAGGAAATGTCCAGGGTCCCCCAGATAAAAAATATCAGAGGCACAGGCACAGCACAGCCCCTGTCTCCATTTCACCCATCAGAACCAACCTAGAGAGCTGACAGCTGTCAATCAAGGACCTCTCTGCCCTGCCAAAAACCACATAAAAGAAGCCTCAGAATGAGAATCCACGCCTGCCCATCTTAGCTTAGGCAGGCCGACTCTGTTACCCTAGGCAGAGTGTATTAAACCTTATTTTGGTTTCTTGACTTTGGTCTCTTGTCTCACTGTATCTGACTTCCCTGTGACACCGAGCCCAGTTCTTTCCTTCCCAACAGTGTTCCAAGCTCCAAAGGATCAAGAGGAATCCTGGTTCCCATCCAGATCGTGGAACACACGGTGAAGGGAGGTCCGGAAAAAAATGGGCAAATACACTGTTTTGTTTTTTTTTCTGGATTTCATCATTTTTATTGTAAAGTCATTTATCAGTCTTTTTTTTTTATAATTCATTAATCTATTTTTATTTTTTTGAAGAACATTATGTTTACTAGGCTCTCCCCTACCCCAAGTTCCCCCCACAAACCCCATTACAATCACTGTCCATAAGCATAGTAAGATACTGTAGAATCACTACCTGTCTTCTCTGTGTTGCAAAGCCCTACCCTTTCCCCCACCCCACACATTATACATGCTAATCATAATACCTCCTTTCTTCTTCCCCTCCTTTATCCCTCTCTACCCTCTCATTCTCCCCAGTCTCTTTCCCTTTGGTAACTGTTAGTCCATTCTTGGGTTCTGTGATTCTGCTGCTGTT